ACTGATTTGTACGTCCAGGGTATCCGTAACAGCCGTCTGTACGCCCATATTTCAAAGGCATCTATCCGCCTTGCATCGCTCTTCTTGATCGTCCAGGTTTCAGCTCCATAAGTGGCAATCGGGAACACAAGTGACTTCAACAATCTTAGTTTGCTGTTTTTTGTGATCGCTGTATCTCTCCAGATCTTACTTAACTTAGTTACGGCTGTTCGAGCTAGCGCAATTCTTCGCTTTATTTCACCTTCACATGCACCGCTATTGTCAATTAAGGATCCCAAGTACACGTACTTATTCACCACATTGAACCCAGCTATGTTTTTTACGTGGGGTTGGTTCCGGTTTTGCCGATCTACAATCATGACATTAGTTTTGTTTGGATTTAATTTCAATCCAAATTCTGCACTAGTTTCCTGGGGTAAAATAAATTCCATTTCTTCTACACTAGATGTTATAATTAGTGTGTCGTCGGCATATCTCAGATTGTTGACCTTTCTTCCCCCTACAGATATGCCACCCTGCCAATTATCCAGAATGTCTGGCATTATGTATTCGGTGTATATGTTGAACAGTAAGGGCGAGAGAACACATCCTTGTCTGACACCCTTCATCGATTGAAACCTGTTTGATGTGACATCGTTGATTCTGATCAGACCGTAATTATGTTCATAGAGCTGTCTGATAAGTATTATTAAGTGGTCAGGGACCCCCATTTCTTTGAGTATTTGCCACAGTTTTGTCCATTTTACCAAGTCGAAGGCCTTGGAGTAATCGACAAAACAGAGGTACATTGTTATGTTAAATTCTCTAGCTTTCTCCATTAGTTGTCGCACGTTTCCTATTTGTTCTCTCGTACCCTTACCCGGCATAAAGCCGGTCTGTTCTTCTGCAATCTGGGGTAGTAGATATGGTCTAAGTCTGTTATTAATGATCTGTAGGAGAATTTGGCATGCATGGGGTATTAATGCAATCATGCGGTAGTTATTGCAGTCTGCTGTGTTACCCTTTTTATACAGTGGCATATAAAGTGAGCCGCACCATTCGCCTGGCCAAACTCCTGTCTTCCAAACTCGATTACATATAAAATGCAAAACATCAACTACAGGCTGACCTATTGACTTTAGTATCTCTGCAGCTATGCCATTTATGCCTGGACTTTTATTGTTTTTGAGGCTCTTTAAGGCGCGTTTAACCTCCGATTTAACAATCCCGGGTTCGTGGAGAGTAGAGTAGTAGAGTAAGTGTAGAAAAGTTTACGGTGTTAAAGGGTCCGTCATCGCTGTAAAGTTTATTGCAGTATTTCCGCCAGATCTAAGCAATGCCTTAATGCATTGTCATTCTACCATTTTCGTCCAGTATAATTTGTGTGCGAAGTTTAAACTCACGAGAGAGGTATTTTACTTTATTGAACAGTTCCCTAGATTCGTTGGTTGCGGAGTGCTTCTCTATTTCCATGCGGATTTTGTGAATGTGTGCGTTTTTATCCAGCCTACAGCTGATTTTCATTTCTTTATTGATGTTTTTCAATTTTAACTCTTTATCAGATATTGTTGCTGGTAAGGCATTTAGGTGTTTTCGCGATTCCAGCAAACTGACAGTATTATCAGATAACCAAGGTTTGGGTTTTATCTCCGACTTTCCAGGTGTACAGCTTTTTTTGACTATTTCATTTATCCAAGCTCTAGTATCATTCCACATTTCTTGTGCATCATCTTTTTGTCTAGGCATTTCGACAGAGCTCAGTGCTATCATTATTTTCTCAGTAGAGGGTATTGGACACCTTGTCTTCTTGTTTAATTTCACTAGCCTTAGTTTGCGATGAAAGCTTGCCACTAAGAATTTATGATCTGATCCACATTCCATGCCAGGTCTTGTTTTAACATTGGTTATAGAGGACCGCCATCTACAGCTTATTAAATTTGATTTGTCGTTTTTTGGTCGGGCGATGTCCAAGTTCAGAGTCGTCTAGGGTGGTGTTTAAACATGGTGTTTGCGATAGTGAGATTGTTGTCTATTGCAAATTAAATTAGTCACTCCCCTCGAGCATTTCTGTCTCCAAGCCCATACCTACCCAGGACATTCTTTAAGTTCTGTAAGTTGCTGGTCTTTCCAACCTTTGCATTGAAATCGCCTAGGATGATTAATGGTTCTTTTTTTGGTGTGGCTGAAACTAATTGCTCTATTTCCTGGTAAATATCCTCCACTTGTTGGTCGTCTGCGTCAGTTGTTGGCATATACACCTGGATGAGATGCATGTTAGTAGGCTTTGTACGGACAGTAACTTTAACAATGCGGTCGTTGATTGTTTGGTAGCTTTCCACGTATTTGGCCATTCGTTTATTGATCACTATGGCCACTCCATTTTGACTTATATTGTCTGAGCCTGATACGAAAATCTGATGGTCATTAGTTGTGAAATGTCCCTTACCTCTCCAGTGGGTTTCTGTCAAACCACATATATCTATTTCAGCCGCGATTAACTCCCGCTCTAATATTTGGAGTTTGCCTACGTTCAGAAGCCCTCTCACATTCCACGTAGCAATATTCAATTTGGATTTTTGGGGAAGCTTAATATTTTTTCCAGGAGCTCTAGCTGCAGACAGAGCCTGGTCAACCACATCTGTCTGCTCGGTCACTAATTTCACACTTGTTGGCCCGAACCCAATCAAGCGCCGGTCGCTACTCGGATCGCATGGCACACGCATACTATTACCTTACCATACAATACCATAGACATCCGCATAAAACAAGCACTACGTCTTTAACGAATCAATTAAAAGAACTACTAAACAACATTTTTTCAAACGACACACAATTTTTCAACCGCTTTCTAACTTTTTTGGAACCCGGCTGGAACTTGGTGTTTGTTCCAGTTCGTCAAATAATGGTATAAATAATATGATCCGTTTTTGGATTGTTTTTCGAAGTATTTGGACAATCGTCGGGGATAAAACACCAAAAATCTAAAAAATAGTAGAACTTCCTATTATTCACTGATCAAGGTCAGGTGTTATTTTTTTTAAGACGGTCGGTTCAAAACCTCTTACGGAAGCAATATACTGGGTCGCATGACGTTTATAATATTGAGTATAGGTAAAACAGGTTTAAAAAATATTTTAATTGTTTTATATTATTTTAATGAAGCATTTTACTTGCTTTATAATAATTTTATATTTAAAATATATTGCAGATATAGGTAAAAATGGTCTAGAAAGTCATATATATTTGATTTTTCTTAAATAAATCATCTAAAGAACATTCTTTTGTACTTATTTTTGATATCAAAATTATTATATTAATTTTAACTAATATAAAATTAAATTTTAAGTAGCGCTCGAGGAAGCATTACTAGACCTTAAATGTCGCATTATTTTATAGAGACTTTATCATTTTATTTTTTAGTATAATTCTTTAGCAAAGTATTACGTGGGCAGTAAAACAAGGGGTATTTCACCTACAACTGGACTTATATTAGTGTTTTAAACTTGACTGTTGGCACTTCTCCTGTTGATTCAAGGTCAGATAGATACTGAGATAGTACTTAGATTCTAAACTTCCTTGCATTTACCGAAAACACTTACAAGACTTACCTCTTTTGTTGCAACAAACGTATTTCTGGTTTTTTTTGCTTGGATCCACTTTTTCCGCTTTTCCTCTGCTTTCGAAAATTAGAAAATTGCGGTTTTTAGTCCCTTCTGACACACACAGCAATTGTTTATCATAATTATATATAAAACAAATAGTAACCCACGAAACCAAATATTTTGTCATTAATTAAATATTTAATTAATTTAATTAAATTAACATATTCTCTAGTTGAATTATTCACACATAAACCATTATCCTATAAACAAACACTCAAAAAAGTTAAATACAGTCTGTACAATTTACATTGGCGTAGTCGGTCATAGAAGCAAGAGAGAAAGTGCCTCAGTATTTTACCTGCTTCCATTGGTATATTAAGAATGGTAAAACCCTGAAAACTTGACTTGACATTTACCTGTCAGTGTTCTACCTTTGTCTACGACACCCCGCTGTCGTACACTGGACAGAGTGTAACAATTACCGGATAATTACAGTAGATTCCGCTATAAAACAGCGTCGTCGTTTTGAAAAATTGCTGCCGAAACTTGAAAGGCCATTTTTAAATATCTCACGATATCATTTTAGTTAAAGTGTTCCAAATGCACAAGGAAAGAAGAAATCATCAATGGACTGCGCAATAGGCGGATTAATTACCCAGAAAATGGTCTAAATTAACCAAAACTATCTTGCCGTATGCTACAGACGAAATAATTAAATAAATAATAAGTTTTAAGATTGCCTGCTCATCATTGTATATTTAATGCCATAGAATTGGTGTGGACTCAGTGCAAAATATTTTTCAAAAAAAAAATTGTGAAGCAAGGCACGATGATACTGCAGTAGTATCTGTTTCGAAGGCAGCTTTCCAGACAGATATCAAAGAAAATTGGACCAGTTGTATAACACTTATAGAAAATAAAAATAAAAGATGATGAAGATTCATGATGTAGTAAATACAAACTAAATATATACAATATATTTTAATTGATTTAATATTTTTTACGGTATGATATATTTTCTTAGTTATTCGATTTTTTTTTGGTATTTTAATTTTTATGGCATATACATAGGTATTGTAGAGAGATTCCAGTTGTTTCGAAGATTTGATGGTGAGTGGGCAATATCACGAGGTAACAGAGCACGGTTTACCTCAACTATTTCTTAAGCACTGAATATATATTAAACCGAAAAAAATGCTGTAATTTTGTACGAGTATGTTTTCCGAAAATAAAAACATCACAAGAAATAAAATACGAACTAATGCTAAATTCCACGTTTTTGTATGCATTATCTGTGTAGTCTTGTAAAGATATTAGTAAAAGAAATTACTTACCTGAAATTAAGATTTGTCGTGGCTAAATCAAAAAATTATATAACAGTTGCTTTGATTTAAATAGGGACTTGATTTATGATTGTAGACTCCGTTCGTGAGACAAAACACCCCCCATCCACGCGAACTCAAAGCCAAGGCGCACAAGCTATTCGGCAAAGCGAGTCCCGGGAGTGGTTGCGTTCAAAATTCCATCGAAGAGTCAGACACCAATACGCTCCAACGCGATGGTTCGATTAATGCGACGTTATCCAACTATACATCGATGACAATTGAAGCTGTCAACCCCCACGTGTTAAGCCCAGAATTGTCCAATGTTCCAAAAATTGTGCCGGATCCGCAAACGGAAGTCATTGGTAACGGTCACGGTGGGAGCAGCGAGCCTAGCCAAGATGAGGATAGTGATGACGTAAGTACTTTATTTTTCATGTCACCGAAAACTCTGGCTATTAGAAATATGGTAAAATGATAATCCAGGTTTGTTTCACCCGAGTGGACTAAATTGTAAATAAATAAAAGTGTTTTTTTTATTTAGGTGAAAGGTAGTTTTGCCAATATTATTGCATAATCGGTGGCGGTATATAACTAGATTGATCTTATACAACCACCCCATTCCAAAGAAAATACTACTAAAAAAAATAAATAAAAATAATTAAATGAATGGACAAGGCAAAAAGTTTCAGAGAAACATAAATATTTACAACAGTTTAAGAGAGAGAGAGAAAAGTTTGAGTTAAGACGGTTCAATGATGTATTAAGTGAAAATAAATTTATAAATACAACAAATATTACAATCCATAATTCCTTTAAACAGTGATAAGAATGAATAAAATTTTTTCATATTTCACTCCTGCGGTTACATTTTGCATAAAATTATGTTTTGGTTAAATTTATTTTGTCAAAATATTTGCCATTTTGAATAATGTTCTTCGCGATTTCCTTTTCGATGCGGAGTTGTGATATTTATCAGAAATATAGCTGCTTAGGTTAATAGAAGTTAGTCCGCACTATACAAGGCGTTTCATATATTTCAGAGAAATAAAAAAAAAACAATCTCAATATGTTAAAGCTTTTCATGTTTTTGATTCCGGGTTAAGATCAAATCATAATCAAGCCGTATGTGTTTTGAAATGTCTACATTTCTTTCCAATACTTTATATAGCTGTGACTTACTATTAAATGGTAATTTCATTATTGCAGAATTTCAAATATTTTAAAACTATGAAGTTTTGTAATACTGTATAGAATTAACTGTAGGATTCAAATATGAAGATAGGGGCTTCCATAAGATAAAACATAAATTTGCTTTCTTATGCATTTTTGAAACATCCTGCGTACATAAAAAATAAGTTTAGGGTTTGCGTACCATGCACCGGTAATTACAAAGTTTTGTTTTGTCAAATTTTAGGATATATATCTGTTTCTTTAAATTCTAATTATACCAAATGCGATATACATCAAATCTAAGAAGCAATATTTTTTTGGTTAGTATTAGTTAACCTTAGGTAAATGTTTATACGGCATTTTTAAAAAATCGGTTTTCGCGCCAAAAATATCACCCTCTCGCGACATTTTTTGCATGTCCGACTTGTGTCTCGAAAATGCGGACTTGGCGTTTTTTCGTGCATCTGCCGGGTCGCTCGCCACAGTAATATTGCATCATCCTGTAAGTTGCTACCAAGCATTCAAATCCCCTCAAATTTATTGTACATTTGTTATCGCGGAGTGCTAATAGGCAATTATTGTACTGGGTGTCCTACTAAGGGCGACGAGATACAGTATTAGGGAAACAGAAATGAAAAAAAAAAGGTACATCGGCTAAGACAAAATGCTAAGACTAAATTTTAAAACTATGTTTCTACAAAAATTTATAATGTTCACAATATTTCAAGTATGTACTATTTTAAGACTGGGGCAAATTCAAATATTTTTTGTTTAATATTGTTTGCTCTATTTCTGCAAGAAAAGTGGTGGCCAGTATTTGAATATTTTGTTAAATAAATGTCCATATCGTCTCAAAAGGTTTTATGCATTTTAATAATCTTGGAGTCGTTGAAAAGGACTTTTCCTAGGCTGGGTGCTATGAGTGGCGCTATTCTGGTTGCTTACGTTGCCAACAAGTGAATTTTTCAGTTTTTTTTTTGAAAAAAAAAAACAAATGCAACGATATGAGCTTTTTATGTTACTCGATATCCGAATGAGCAACCAGTGATCTCCAAATCTTTATCCTAGGCAAAAATATGAATGAAAGAATTTAACGCACAAAAAAAGTTGGATTTTGGGAAAAAAATCATTCTACGGATTGTTATTAATGTATTATTATCTATAACCAAATATTTTATTATTTACGATGCCAAGTGATATTCAAAGTCAAAATAGAATGTTATTAATAATTAAATAATTAACTAATAATTTATTTATAATTATTATTGCATTCAAGTAGTTTTAACGACTCGAATGTTATTAAAATGCGCCAATATTCGAACGCAGAGCACAAGGCTAAAGAGATTTCAATTCTTCTCAGCTTGAACATGGTACTCACTGTAACTATGGTCAACGTTAGAAATTTTTATAGAAACCAAGTATTAAAATTCAGGATTAGAATTAAGCCTGCTGGTCTCGTTGTCTTGCCCGATTTACTTAGTAATCTGTTTTGTCAACTTTATAGAATTCGCCGTTTCCTTGTTATCGTACCTAGTTGCCCTTACTCCGACATGCTGTATAAATTTTGTCCATGGGGACACTAGAATATTTTGATTATGTTTCACCCGCTTTGTTAATTTTGATAATAAATAATTTTAATGGGCTAACAGGTTTTATCATTGTTTGGCCAATATGGCAGCAAGCTAACAAAAATTTTCAAAGAAAGCAGGTGTTTTTATAATTAATTTCGACACAGCAAACTAAATGCCTTCATTAAAATTATGAATATGGGGAATTTCTATCGATGCAAGAGTTGTTTTAGAAAATCATATGAAATTTCATTGTTAAACAGTTCAATGTTAAAACTTTAAAACTCGAAAATATACTAGAACGAAGGTATCATAAAACTAAAGGTATAATAAATCGTCTGCGGCTACAGCGCCATGTATCGAGAATAAGTGTTTTTTTTATTCAATATTGAAGGGCATTTCTTTTTGTTTCTTTTTTATTGATGTAAGGTGTAGAGATATTCCGCCGTTTCCATACCTCTTTCTACTCCCTATACAGGGGGAGTATTTTTATGTTTATGGGAACTCGGAAACTATATCAGATACAAGAAAGTTTGTGGTTTTGTTAGCCCTAGTTGAGCCCTTTCAAGGTTTGACAGTAATAAATTTTTCAAAAAAACAGATTTCCGGCGATTTTTTAAAATGCGTAAATATTAATTTTAGTTAAAAAGGATAAATACAAAAGTTTTAGGAGATTTAGTTTTAATTAATTAATTAAACTTGTTCATATCAACAAAAAGCAAATAAACTCGTAAAATTTTTAAAAGACATTAAAGCTTCTAATGATAAATTGGTATCATTGACTGAGATTTTAACTAACGCATACTACAAAGACAACGATTAATATTTTAGGGACTCCTTTCAATTTTTGTCTTTCATTGATGTTAAACAACTACCAAACAACTATGTTCTGATCAGTCTAGTTTAGTTATATTTCTTACTATATAATTGAGCTATTGTAAAAAACATTGGTATTGGTCTGTGTGTAATGTTTCATATTTTAAATTTGACTATCGTTTCTTCAGACAAATTTTGGGTTATTTCATGAGATCAAAAATATCTGCAATACTCGCTCACTACTTTTTGGATGACTTGTTAACTTGCTATGCAGTGTACTGAGGGAAACTGACTATAGTGTACCGTTCTTAGACACAAAAGTCATTAGATATATCAACAATACTGCATTAACGGATTGGTACATAAAACCTACCAGTTCTGAATCCATCGAGATGCTCTGTCACCCATTTTGAGGCAAACTAACTTAAATAAATTTTACGACGTATTAATGATCAACTCTTTTTCTTGCAGATTATTAAAAAAACTAATTTATAGCACCTCCTCTGAAGTAAATTTAGAACTTGCAGAGGCTATAATTTCTTCAAATACCTAGGCGTCTTTGACATAAAATCAGGTTTGCATTTACTATGCAATTCCATACATTAAAAATTTGTCATATAAAATCTGGAAAATTCTAACAATTCAACCTAACATCGAGAGCGTCTATAAATAGGGAATGTGAATGTAAATTAGGGAATGCGAATGAAATTTCAGGGTAGGGATGAATCATTGATGAACAGCAGTTTAGTATATAGTAATATATGTAATCATTGGGATAATGTGTACCGGATGACCATTTATAATGCGTCCACTCCTATCCCCCTCAAAACTTTTTAAATTTAACGTTTGGAAAAAAAAACGTCAAATACGAAAGTTCGTAAAAAATAGTATTTGCAAAATATGTTTTTATATATACAGGGTGGGCGAGGAAGAGCAGACTGTAAATTTTGATAAAATTGAAGCTACAAATAACGTGGCGATTTAAATAATGAATTATTTCAATTTCGCAATACTTGTCAGCACTCGAGATTTTAATTTTGGCACGCGGAAAATGCTCTCATGTTGGTCTCTACATGAGTCGTACTAGTCCCGATCACAGCGGAATATGACACTGGAGCTACATATGAATATTTTCTGCCCGTATACCCAGCGAGATTGTCACCAGCTTACGCGGACAATAGAACCGCAGCAATCAATTAAATGAAAACCAACTTCAATTTGCTCGACATAAAAATTCTCCAATTATCAAAAACTAAAGAAGAAAAAAAAACAATTTCTATTGGACGGAACATACTGCCCACCTAAAATGGCAACATTTTATTAATAAATCCACAAAAGAAAATATAAAATAATTAATAAAAACAGTGATAACAATTCAGATACCCACGCTAATTCTAAGTGAAACATTAATAATTATTATATCGGCAAAGGACAAATCGTTAAAACTGGGTGTTTGAGAATTTCCTTTGCCGTTTTAATAGAGACTACTTTCACCACTCCATCCGTACCCGGATGAACTTCTATTACGCGCCCCAAATGCCAAGCCGATGGACCAGAGAGTTCTGTAATTAATACCACGGTGCCAATTTTAATATTAGTGGAGGGATCATGCCATTTGGATTTTTGGTTAAGGGTGTGAAGATACTCACGATGCCACCTGGTGCACGCGCAGTAATAATTGCCAACGCGAGGGTCTTCCCAATTTAACTTCTGTACAATCTGATTCAATAAATGTGTTAAGCGGTTGAAGATTTAGAAAATGACTCGGAGTAAGAACGCTTAGATCGTTAAGATCGGAGCTAACAGGGCACAATATCCTAGAATTTAGAATCGCTTCAATTGCGGTCAAAACTGTGATGAA